ACACACGGGAACTCTCAGATGCTGCCGGTAAAACTACAAAATGGTGCAGCCACTTTGAAAAACAGTTTGGCAAATCCTCAAAATGTTAGACATATTCACCCTAGGAGCCAACAATTTCATTCACTTAAATTTCACAATTTAAGAGAAATGCAAACATACGTCCACATTAATAACTTGAACATGTGTGTTATTCATGACAGCCAAAACCAGGAAACAACTCAGATGTGTCTCAGCTGGTGAGCAGGTAAACAAAATGTGGTTTGCTCATACAATGGAATATTATTTATCCACAAAAGGAATGAGGTACTGATTCATACAACAACATAGGTGAAGCTCAAAAATATGCTAAAAAGTCAGTTACCAAAACATGCACATATGGTGTGATTCCATTTATATCAAAACACGCACACATGGGATGATTCCTTTTGTATGAAATGTCCAGACTAAGCAAATCCATAGAGAGAGAAAGTAGGTTTGTGGCTGCCTAGAATTGGGTAGGGGAGGGGATGCAGAATGAGGGGTGACTGCTCTTGGGTATAGGGTTCTTTTAGGGGTGATGAAAATGTTCTAAAATTAGACAGTGGTAATAGTTACACATATTGAATATACTAAAGGCCACTGAATTGAGTATTCTAAAGGAGTGAATTTTATGGTATATGAATTAGATCTCAAAATGGCTATTATTAAAAAAAATTACTATCAGTCTTCCATTGTCCTTGAAGAAGCCATCAGAGACTTCTCTTTAGTTAATGCCAGTTCCACTTCGTACCTGAGTATGGATAAACTGGGGTCCTGGCTGAAACTTGTCTTTTCTGTCCATCTTCTGTGCCATGGAAGCTCTTGGTAAATGTCTACCGCAAGTTAACCAAGTTCTCTCCTGACTCCAAGCCCTTTTCTTTATCTGCTTTGTCCATTTTGCCTGGTTATCTACTACCATCCTTCACACGTCAGCCGTCTCTGGCTCCAAGACATTATTAGGGGTCCCTGGGGATCCCTTTTTTGCTGGTATTCCAAAGATACAGAGCATAAGAAAGAACAGAGGAAAGGAAGAAGGGAGGATCTGAACCAAAATTTTTCCGCATGCACCTACTCTTTTTCTTGTTTGCTGAGAAGGTTGGATTTCTCAGCCCTGTAGCCACAGTGACCATTTGAACCTCTTAGATCATAGAATGGCTTCTCAGTTTCCTATGAATCAACCAAAACTTTTAGCCTTTTAAAGAACATCCAAACCTTGTTTTTCTACTCTTTGGCTCAGAAATCCAGAGTTGGGAATCTAGCCAATGCATGTGTGCTCAGTCACTCAGCTGTGTCCGACTCTTTGCACCCCCATGTAGCCTGCCAAGCTCCTCTGTCCATGGGATTTCTCAGGCCAGAAAACTGGAGAGGGTTGCCATTTCCTCCTCCAAGGAATCTCCCCAACCCAGGGATTGAACCTGCATCTCCTCCTTCTCCTGCATTGGCAGGTGGATTCTTTACCACTGAGTCACCTGGGAAGCCTAATCTAGCCAAAAAAAAAAAAGACACTAACAAGAACCTGAATAGAGAGAGAGATGTGGGGTGGACCCTAGAAATACACACATGAGGTCACAGATCTTGTGTCAAAATGTCCACCTGCGGGCTGGTGTATATCATACCATGTCCCAAAGATGGAATAATTTGCATCCATTAGAAGAATTTAGTGATCTGGGAAAAATACTTGTATAGTAAGTGAAAAAAGCAGGTTATAAACTGGTGGGTTATAAACCTATTGCCAATATGTAAACTGTGCATCAATTTTTTTTTAAATGGGGGAAATACACACCAGAAGGATTTCAGGGGTTTTCTTTTTTTTTTTTAACTTTAAACTTTTTATTTTGTATTAGGGTATAGCCGATTAACGATCTCGCGGTAGTTTCAGGAGAACGGGGAAGGGACTCAGCCATACATATACGTGTATCCATGCTGTCCCCAACCCCCCTCCCATCCAGGATGCCACATAGCATTGATCAGAGTCCCATGTGCTGTCCGGCAGGTCCTTGTTGGTTCAGGGGTTTTCTTTTGGTAATGGGGTTATGGGTATCTTTTTCATTTCCTGGTTAACAACACGAGGGGTTCTACAATGAATATATATGAATTTTACAATCACAGAAAGCAAACCCCCTTAATTCTCTCTCTTTCCACTGCTCTCTCCGGGGAATTCACTCTGCACCTGCTTTGTTCATCAACCCACCTCTAGCTCCACACCCTCATTGGGAGCTGCACCCTCAGCATCTTGCCAGGTGCTCCTGAAGGCCGCTCAGCACGTCCCTCCTGGTCTCCAGGAGGAAGGCAGGCTGGCTCATCCCCACCTGTCCCAACACAGGGCTCCCACATCCCTCCCCGCTCGCTGTGTGCAAGGAAACTCCAGCCTCCTGTTGGTGCTTGACCTTGAGAATCCACTTCCAGCTGCAGCAGGAGGCCCTGTGTCTGCACCTGGTTCTTACTCCTGGAAGGAGCCTGAAGAGCAGAGGCCCTGGTTTTCACCCTTTTTGGAGGAACAGGAAGTCCGTGGTGACTTTTTTGTCTGCATGTCCTGATTTGCCGTGAAAAAGACTTCTCTCGGCCTTTTTTTTCTTTTCTCCTGGCCATTTAAAAACCATCCAAACTGTCTCTAAACAGCGTAAGAAGTGATCAAAGGTGTTTTCATGTAACCTGGACCCGCAGCCATCTCGACAGTCAGTCCGATGCTTGGTGACTTTCAGAGGAAATGAGTACAAGCCAGTACTGCGGATAGAGCTGGAATGCACTTATATTTTTTGTGAGTTGATATTCCCTGGTAGCTCAGTTGCCAAATAATCTACTTGCAATGCAGGTGACCCCAGTTCAATTCCTGGGTCGGGAAGATCCTCTGGAGAAGGGATGGGCTACCCACTCCAGTATTCTTGCATGGAGAATCCCCATGGATAGAGGAGCCTGGCGGGCTACAGTCCATGGGATGCAAAGAGTCGGATATGACTGAGCGGCTAAGCACATGTCCACATACACATCTACCTTATTCCTGGGGTGGAATCAAATTAGAGAAAACCTGGAAGGAAAAAGTTAGTGGGTCAAACATTTGCAGGCTTACCACGCACCTGACACATCCTTAGAGCACTTGTGAAATACCGTGGCTTTATCAAAGCAATAAACAAATCCCCGGTGATTTTTCCTGCAGAACTTCCTGGTCACCCGTTACACCCACATGAAGCATAACAAGGAAGGCTCCCAGGGTAAGACAGACGGTCTCGGGTTCAAGAAAGGCGCATGCGTCTTGGCTCCTGCTGCCTTCTGAGCTAATTACCCTGGACTGTGAGTGAAACACAGGGGAATTCAGGATTGAGATAAATCAGACCTCCTACCATTGACCTTTGGTGTTTTTGAAACTAAGAAGAAAAGACATGGTGCGCCAGGCTTCCTCATCGGTCTGGTATTTCACCTGTCTTCCTGAGCAAGGCAAATAAACCATGACATACTTTTTTTCCATGTAGAACTGCGCCCTTTTTTCATGGCTATATCTGGGTACTGTTTGGCAATGAGAATTGAGTCGAATAGAGGTGGGGAAGCATTTTTTAAATACCACTCTCTTCTCAAATATTTAAAGTAAACTAATGAATAGGTGAGAGACAGGTCCCATCTGTCAACTCTTTTCTGTTCCTGCCACCCAAATGCAGGCCTCCATTACACGTTTCTTAGGCTACCATGGTTGACATTTTCTCCCAATACATCTTATCAAGACTGGAGATGCTGAGGTCCCCAGAGGAGAAGCATAGATGGTCTTCATTCTGCTATCCCCAAGGTTTGTTTTATTTATTTATTTTGCCATCCCCAGGGTTTGGGTTTTTGTCTGATGGACTCCATGAGCTGAGCTGAAATGGAAACGCTGGGATGGTAAATGGGGTTTTGAGGGAGCAACAGGGGAAGAAAGAGAGACCAAGGATGGCTGGAAGAGGAACCTGGGGCGTCATCATTGGTCTCCATGTGAACCACCTTCCTTGTTTTCCTGGGAGACCTTCAGTAAAATATGCATTTCTTTTTAAAAAAATACCCATTTCTTGTTGATTTATTACGGAGTTGGATTTCTTTGTTGGCAGAATTCATTCATCCAACAAATATTTAATTGAGAGCCTGATTTACCAGGCAGTTTTCTAGGTGCAGTGGGTAGAGTAGTGAATAAAATACACCCAACAGAGGACAACTTGGATGAAAACAAACAACATGGATGGATCTCCAGGGAGTACTCTGCTGAGAGGACCCCTGCCCTGTATGACTCTGATGCACCTCACAGCCCTGGTTCCCAGCAGCAGGCCAGACAGGACTCAGTCCTGGATTCCAGCCCCTCCAGGCCCTCCTGCGGTGGGGACCCCCACACCAGCCCACTGGTCCGCTGGGTGTACCATGAGGCACCTGCCTTTGCCTCTGATTCTCTGCCTTAGAAGATCTTCAGAGGAAGAAGCCATGTAAATAATAAAATAAGGTCTGGAAGGGCTTTAAAGTTTTATTTTACATTATGCCATGCCTTGCATGGGATGACCACAAAGCACATGCCTACTGGGCCAGCTGGGTGAGAAAGCTAGAATGCACAACCCGGTCCACTGGAAAGCGGAGAGAGTGAGAGGGGAGAGAAAGGTGGGGAGAGGGGAGCGGTGATAAATGTTTCTGTGTCTCTTCTCCAATGCGTCACACGTGCCCATTCTAGGAACAATGATTATGTGACAATGCAGTTTCTGATTCATGTTCATGGTCTTTGTATTCACGGAAGGGGACTTTATCACAAGGGCTAGAGCTAATCAATAAATATTTGATTGACTTTCAAGCAAGGTCCTCGTGGCCAAAATGAAAGAAAAGATACCGATAAGCTCTGTTTTCAGAAGGTTGACTCAAAGCAACGCAGAAAGAATAAGTGCAAAATGGAATGACGGACCACTTCTCCTGCACCTCCCCCCGGGGCGGAACCAGCCGTGAGCTGGGCAGAGCTGGTCCCCAGGACCAAGGCCTCCAGGCTGTCAGGTCTGTGGGGCCGGCTCCTCCTGGGAAGGGGCCTGCTTCCCCAGGTCCCAGCCTGCGTCTGGGATGAACAGCCCGTGGATATCCAGGTGCATCTCCACATCGACGGACGCACGGGCCAATTCCGTAAAAGTTCTGGCATCGAGAACCAGCAGAAAAGGCGACTTCTGAGGATCGGTAGAGACAATGGCTGATAAGATAATCCCTTTGGGGAAACAAAGACAGACACTTTGTAAAAGTGCAGCCTTGCCTTGCACCTGGTTCAGCCGGGGCTAAGTGTCTCAGCTCTGTCTCCCTGTCCTTTGACTGTACCTAATTGAAACAAAAGGGAAGTGAATTTGATATCCTATGTGAGCTGTTGGCTGGGCCTATACTCTCACCTTTCTGAGCCTCAGTCTCTTCATCTGTAGAGGGGGCATAATCCTCCCCACTCTCAGGGGGCTGCTGAGAGGACCTTTCAGGGTCAGTCACGAAAGCACTTTGTGAATTACTGCACATTCAGAAGAATGGCTGTTTTCCTACTATTTAGAAATTCCAGTTACATCAATCAGCTTCAACACTGCACTTGAGCCTAAACTCAGACCAGCTGCATTCAAGTGGCATTTGAATAAGTCCAATCCACCTCATGTGTGTGCAGCTTTCCCCTTTGTGAAATGAGAACAGTCTAAATATTCACTCTCAAAGGGACAAAGGGCTAAACAAAATAGAGCAATAAACTTCCAGCAAATATTCTTGATTCGTCCCGAGGCCTCCCGGGTTTCAGAGTGGCTGAGCAAAGCTGAGGTCAAATCAGCTTGGACTGAAACGCTCCCCTGTGTGTACTGGGTGTGCAACCGTGGGTAAGTGACCTCACTCTCCGAGCCTTTCCTCTGGTGGAATGAAGACAAGGCTGCTCCCTCCCCACAGAATGCGCAGGGCATACAGGCCCAACCCAGGGGGAGGCCAGCCTCGGCAGGAGGTGGCACCAACCGTCCCCCACCTTAGAGGTGGCGGTGACACGGGTCACTGCCTGGCATGCTGCGCCAAGGAGGTCGATACGAAGACTCGCCCAGGTAGAAAACCACTCCCTTCTCGCCCGAGGGAAGCAGCTGGCAGGCTCAGTGGGCGGTCTGCCCTCCCCCCAGGTGTTGGCAGCCCCACCCAGGCTTCTAGTTACCCTCCTTGGCATCCCCAGGGGGACAGGCAGGGCATTTCTGGGGAAAATCAAGGAGGGAAAGGAACTTTGGGTCAGGTGGAAACCTAGAGGAGAGAGGAATCCCGCGAGCTTTTTGAGGGGCTCCCTGGAAAGTTTATGTGCTCAGAGGAGTTACAAGTTCTGACCCAGCCACCGCAATGAATTTTAAAACCCAGATTCCACACTCTGGGCCAGGGCAGTGTTGCTCTGTGGCAAGGAAGTGGGCTTTTGTGTTAGTCTCCCCCAAAAGGAGGTCTCGCCTTCTGCCCTTGGGAGATGACGCCCGAGTCCTTGGACTGTTGGTCTGAGGAGAGGGTCTTTGTTTACCTGAGGCTATGCCATCAACCCAGCCTAGCAAAGTGATTCAGGTGAGGCCTTGGGCCACAGGGCTTCCCAGGAGGCACTAGTGGCAAAGGTCTCACCTGCCAAGGCAGGAAACATAACAGATGCAGGCTGGATCCCTGGGTTAGGAAGATTACCGGGACGAGGGGATGGCAACCCACTCCAGTGTTCCTGCCTGGAGAATCCCATGGACAGAGGAGCCTGGTGGGCAACAGTCCGTGGGGACACAAAGAGTGGGACACCACAGAAGCAATTAGCACTTGGGCCACAGCCATCGGCGCGACCTCCAGAGGGGCGAAGCCCGAAGTCCACGCGGTCCGCGCGCCCACGCCCCACACAGGCTCGACCCCAGGCTGAGGGAGCACCCCCGATTGGCCGCGCTCCGTGGAGGTCGTTGGGGAAGTGGGTGTGGTCCGTGGCTCCCGCAGGGGGGATCACCAGAGACTCGACCCACGGGACTCCCCCGGATCCCGTCCCGGGCGTTTTCTCTTTCAGCCTGTGCCCTTCCGCTGAGATAACCCCTCACCACGCGTGTGTTCTGTGGGTGCTCCTGCTGAAGCTGCGGGTGGGCTTGGGGACCCCTGAACTTACAGCTGATGTCAGAAGTGGTGGGGGCGACCGCTTTTGCGGCTCAGAGCCGCCTGGACTTCAGAGCATGGCTGCACAAGCCGTGTCGTGAGGGCGGGGTCCCCGCCCCAAACGGCGTCGTGGTTTGAGGGGCGACCGCAGTGCAGCAGGCGGGCTGCACTTCGCGGGCCTTACCGTCATCCTCGTCCTTGGCCCCCGGCGTGGGCACGAACAAGGGCTCCGCCGGCCAGCTGTGTGCCTCTCCCCACTCCACGGAGGACTTCGTGAGAATGTCATATTTTATTATCTGCGCATGCAGAGGGGAGAAACGCGAAATGAATGGTTGCAGAGCGGGCTCATTCTCGGCGAATAGGAAGGCATCAAGGCCCCAGGGAGGGGGTGAGCGCCTCAGATGCAGACCTCACACTAGCAAGCATAGGCCCCAGATGACACCTGCCTCTGGACAGTGCAACAACGGAAAGGAAAGCAGCTCCTTCCTTCTCCGACTTTAAGCTAAGGTCCTCCTGTCACCGCAGAGCTGATACACATACTGAATTCTTTAAGAAATAAGAACCCTGGATTTATCTGGTATGGGGCACTATATTGCAATTTTTGTACATATCAGATAATCTAACATATTCAACACCCAACCTTTAAAGCATAACACGCCTCCTTTATTGTTTTCCAAGCGTGAGTCCTGGGCCTTCTCTCTGTCTCTAATAAGCCTCTTTCCCTCAGGGTGTGGGATTAATGGGGAGTGACTTGGGGCGTGTGGATGGGTGTGTGGGAACCTTAATTTTTCTCATTGTGTATTCCTGCACTGCTTGCGTTTTTAAAAAAAGATTTTCTATTTTCTTACTAAAAACTGAAGCTACTAAGGAAAAGTGATGTCTGTATAGCACTTAGCATGGTTCCTGGGAAACAGCAAGTGTTCAACAAATAGCAGCTTAAGAACCAAAATATGAACTGCTGTGCTGAACACCTGAAACTAACATGATATTGTAAATCAACTGCGTTGTTGTTGTTTAGTCGCTAAGCTGTGTCCGACTCTGTGACCCCACGGACTGTGGCCTGCCAGGCTCCTCTGTCCATGAGATTTCCCAGGTAAGAACACTGGAGTGGGTTGCCATTTCTTTCTCCAGGGGATCTTCCGGACCCAGGGACTGAACCCTCGTCTCCTACATTGGCAGGTGAATTCTTTACCACTGAGCCACTATACTTGAATAAAAAAAGTTTTAAAAGCAAAATAAATCCTCCAAGTTTCAACTCTACCTTCTCTGTTTGAGACAATGAGTTCGTTGAGGGCAGGAACTAGGATCCTCCTATTCATTTGCTTTTCCTGGGTGCCTAAGCTGGTGCTCAATAAACATACACCTGATAAAGAAATCAATGGATAAACTCCGGCCACCACATCTTACCTGAGTGAAGCCCATTAGGTGCAGTTTCTTCTCCTGGATGCTCCGTCATCGCTTCCAGCATATTTTGTCCCAAACCGACCTCACTCTCTGACCTACCCCCACCCCCAAGGGGACTGCAGTCCTGCCCTCCCTGAGAACTCAACTTTGCAGACAGACATGACCATCCCAGGCTGCCACCCGCCAGGGACCAGTACCTTGGTTGGGATGGGGCTCCACTGGACTCCAGCAGCAAAGACATAGCGGTATGGCTTCCCATTGTGGGCATAATTGATCCGAGGCAGTTCTAAGCCTGGAGACAGATGACACAGCTGACAGGGCCCCCTTCAGGAGGGCTGGGACCACCGCCCTTCGTGGCATCCAGGCCCATCCAGGCATCCTATCTACAAAAATGGCTCCCAGGCCAGGATCCCTGAACTTCACTCAGGCCCTGAGTTGGATCAAGGGTGGTCAAAGGGCAGGAGGAGGGAACCTCAGATAATTACCCCAGCTCTATTAGAAGCTTTCGGAGCAAGGTAAGATAGACCTTGGTTTTTAAGTGCTTAAACATCTTTAATTATCCAAGATAGAAATCAAAGAGAATTGCATGATTAAAATCAGAGGCCACTGCAACTTTTTAAAAGCTCTTTTAAAAAAAAGTATGTGCATGCAAATGTATGTGGGTGTGAACAGAAACTTCTGAAGCATGGAGGAAGCATCAGTGGGGAATATTTAAATAAATCTAATGAAGTCATATAATAAAAAGTAATATTTACAAAGAATTTTAGTAACATGGGGAAATGTCCCATCATAACATTAGATGTAAAAGGCTGCTTAGAGAATTATCACCACTATGTTATAAATGTAGAGAATTATCACCACTGTGTTATAAATGTAGAGGAAAAGTTTAGAAGTGCTGCTAGGGTGATAACTTGCTTATTGTGGCTCTTAGTTTCTATTGTCCATTCTAAGTTTCTCATGTGAAAATTTCATTATATCTATTACTTTTGTAATCCAAAAAAGCCTTCAAATGTCATCCATGTCCATGTATACATATTTACATATGTCTGCTGTGTCAAACGGAGAAGGCAGTGGCACCCCACTCCAGTACTCTTGCCTGGAAAATCTCATGGACGGAGGAGCCTGGTAGGCTGCAGTCCATGGGGTCGCGAAGAGTCGGACATGACTGAACAACTTCACTTTCACTTTTCACTTTAATGCACTGGAGAAGGAAATGGCAACCCACTCCAGTGTTCTTGCCTGGAGAAGCCCAGGACGGGGGAGCCTGGTGGGCTGCCGTCTGTGGGGTCGCACAGAGTCGGACACGGCTGAAGTGACTTAGCAGCAGCTGTGTCAAATTAAATTTCTAAGTCCCCCTGCCCTGTGGCATGGGGCAGCGATGTGTGGAGCGGGCCCCTGGAGCCCTGCCCCTCCACTCCCCAGCCGTGTCCTGGGCAGGCCCGTTCACTCCTCACCGACGACTTGAGCACACCCTGCCCTGAGCCAGGGGCACAGGCCCTGCTCCACGGGCTTCTGTTCTAGGACAGTAGTTCTCAGTCAGGTCGCAGGCCCCGGACACTGCTCAACAGCCTGCAGTGCCAGTGCCGCCCCCTCCACAAGGACTGACCCCGCCCCATGTCCGCAGCGCTGGGCTGGGGAGGCTTGCTCCGGGGGCTGTGGCTTCTCTCCGAGGGGGTTCACGCTCTGCCTGAAGCACAGCCCTTCTGAGGCCCAGTTTTCCCCTCTGGCCAGCAGAGGTGATAGCACCTGTTCTGCAGGTGTTCGCAATGTGCCCGGGTAGAAATCTGCACATGCTGTGCTGCTCAGCACGTGGCGGCCTCGGAACTGAGGTTTCCTCAGGGTGCAGGCCCTGTAGTGGGGTTGCTGGGCCATATGGTAGCTTTATTCCTAGTTTCCAAAGAAATCTCCATACTGTTTTCCATAGTGGCTGTATCAGTTTACAGTCCCACCAATTGTGCAAGAGGGGGTTCTCTTTTCTCCATACCCTGTCCAGCATTTATTTTTATAGACTTTTTTTTTTTTTGATGATGATGGCCATTCTGACCGATGTGAGGTGATACCTCCCTGCAGTTTTGATTTACATTCCTCTAATAATGAGCGATGTTGAGCATTTTTTTGCAAATGTACAGCAGCATTTGATATAGAGAACAAGCTAGTGGTTACCAGTGAGGGGGGAGGAGGGGGTGATATAGGGGTGGGGAGAGGGAAGTACAATCTGTTGGATGTAAGACAGGCTCAAGGATGATTGTACAACATGGGGAGCCAATATAGAGATAATATTTTGGAATGACTAAGTGGAAAGGAACCTTTAAAAAGTGTATAAAAATTTAAATGCAAAATAAATAAATGTTTTAAAAGAAAACAAAAAAACTACATGGCAGCATTCAAAAGGCCAGCCGTGAAAGTTCCTGGGTCTAGAGACCACCCCAGTGCTGGGAGGGGTGTGAAGGTACATGAGAGAGAAGCGTCTCCAATACAACTGCCTAATGTCCCACAGCCTTCCTCTCCCTCCCTGGTCCACATACAGCTGCTCTGCATTGGAAGGAGGTGTTATACAAAGAGGATATTCACCGCTTCCTCTAAACACAGGAGAGAAGATGCGTTTTACCTTCGGAGAGCAACTCCGGCTGACAGTAGACTTGGTCATCTTTTTCCTTTAGGGCTCGCGCTGTTGTAGACGACAGTTTGATTAAATTGGAGCCCACTTCTGCATTCTGAAAGAGATCAGTTTTTCCAAATAAATTAAAACGTTTTCCAGAGCCAACACTTGCTTTATGTGCACATTTCTAAAAGATTGCTTCAGTGTCTGTCATCTTGTTTTGGCCTCACGCTAGCCACCAGAAGCAGCTATTCTATGATTGGTGTTCTCAGTTAAAAATGAGAATTGGGGACTGGAGGTGACTCCCCGAAGAAGGCAAAGCTGGTGGGTTGTGGAAGGGGGCTCCGAAACCCTAGAACATTTCTTCTGCTCTGGGCTGCCTGATCCCTCACAGGTGAAATGGATGTACTTACAAGTGAAATGGATGTACTTATAAGTTCTTATAACTTATAAGTTCTCGCTTTTTAAATACTGTATGATTCACTTGTAAAAGGCTGCATCAGTTATTAAAAAGGTGTTTATCAAGAGTTCATAATAACATGGGAAACGCTCATGATAGAACACCGAGTGAAAAAGCAGCAGAGAAAGCTGCAGACATGGTCTGAGCTCAACCATGTTAAAAAAGAAAAGAAATTACATTGAAAAGAGCCTGGGAGAGATATGCCAAATAGTAACAGTATAGCATGCAGTGGGGTTATGGAGACTTTAATTTCTTTTTCTATGTTTTTCTAGATTTTCAGTATTTTCTCCTATGAAAAAATAGGAGAAAAACAAACAAGCAGGAAAGAAAAACAAACCTGAGAAAAATTTCTTGGGAGAAAAAAATATCTATGAAGGACTTTGTTCGGTACTTCAACCCGGGAGAGAGACGTAACACAATTAATTAAATATCTATCGAGCAGCAGTTACTCCCTGTGTCCTCACACACTTGCCATGGTACCTTGAACAAGTTACTTGACATCTCTGAAGTCCAGTTTCCCCACCTGTATTAATGAGGTATAGCAGAAGCATTGTATAAATAGCATCTGCATCTCTGAGTTATCATGCAAATTAAATAAAATAACCCATGCTGTTGGCTTACAAGAAGGCCAGGTTAACAGTAAGTGCTAAATAAATGTCAACTGCTGTTGATCACATAATTGTATTATTGTATTATTATTATTGCCACTACCCCTGGTGAGTGAGTTCAGGTTGGGCACTTGGGATGGGGATGAGGAACAAGATCACTGGCATCTGTGGAATTCCAGGAGGAGAATTACTGTCATGCCTGACTTCTCATTTAAACTTTTCTCGACTTTCCAAATGTCTCCAAACAAGTTTTTTTTTTTTATTTTTCAAACAAGTTTTTATAATTAAATCAGTAAGTGGCAACCCACTCCAGTATTCTTGCCTGGAAAAATCCCATGGACAGAAGAGCCTGGTGAGCTATAAAGTCCATGGGGTCACAAAAGACTCGGACATGACTCGGACTCACAAGAGTCGGACATGACTTAGCGACTACCCAACAACAAAAAATTTGAACAGCAGCAGCGTTTTGCTAGGAAGGCAGGACATTTACTGCATCTTAGAAGATGAATTTTGAGATGTGTTTAGTGCAATCCCAGTTAACAGAGGAGGAAACTGAGGCCCAGGGTAGGAAAGTGGCTTGCCCAAGGTCACACTAGGGGAGCAGAAGCTGGGCCCAGACCTCCACACTGTGGTTCTTCTGCTCAGAAGCAGAAGCACTGCAGGCAGCAGGCAAAGCAGGTGCAGAGGCCCTGCGGCTGGTCCGTTCCCCTCCCATAGGCCCCAGCTCCAACGTCCCTTTCCCTGACAGCTCAGTCTGCAGTGTCTCCAAGGTGTCTGTCCCATGCTGTAATTATCTCCTTTATGCACCTGGTTCCTTCTCGAATGCTATCTTCCCTGTGAAGACAGTGACCACATTTCACCCTGTGCATGGCACACAGGCAGCTCCTAGGAAGTACCTGCTGAAGGAATGCGTGAATGTATGACTTAATGAGCTTCCCTTCAGCTCTCAAGAGGCAGAACATGTGCTTTGCAGGTGGCTGTAAGAATCAGACAAAGGGCATGGAACAGTCATCCAGTGCCGGCACATCAGGTGTCTTGTTGGGAGCAGCTCTTGTTTGCCTCCGCCTGTGCGCACAGCCTAGCAGACGGTGAGAGGCCCTGCCCGCTGCCTTGTAGTCACGAGGCAGCAGCCACGGGCCTCTTGTGCATGTCCCGGGCTTGATTCTCAGGGAGGCGGTCTGCAGACATGTTTTCTGGCTCCAGCGTGAAACTGGTCAGACTGGTTGAGGCATGGACCATGAATTTCTCCACACACAGCAGTAACGAGCATGACTCTGCTGCTTTCTGTGGCCAGTGTGCTTGACTTTGGGAAGAAATTGCTCTCCAGCCAGAATTCAATAAAATCCTGCAGCCTGGCTTTGAAATTCTTCAATGTGAGGGATCTCCCAGGAGAAGCAGTTAATCTCAGTCATCCCCAAAAAACACTGGCTTTGAAGTTTGGCAGTCCAGTGTGTGAAATCTGACTCTATAGGTTTCTTCATGAGCCCGAGCAGGCTTTCCCGAGACTACGTGAACTGGAGCCTGCTTCTGCCTGCTTCATCGTTTATAAAACTAGGGGCAATCTGTAACTTCTGGACAGATGGCAAGTGCAAGCGAAGGTTCCTTTGACCGGCGTCTGAGCACCGTGGTTAGGATTCAATTAAATAATGGTTATGAAAACACCTGGTCCAGGGCCAAACCCATTGTAGTTAGTAACTTGGAATGAGACAGACAGGCATGCAAATCCTAGCTCAAATCCTACAGTGATTCTGCGATGTTGGGCAGGTTACTTTCTCTCTCATCTGTTGTCATGGGGATGACAAATAACTTTAAGCACTCTCATGCAGATTCGGTGAGGAGCATGCAGACCATTACACAACCCCACACGTTTGAGGGGGGCATGGCAATCCCCTCCAGTATTCTTGCCAGGAGAACCCCCATGGACGGAGGAGCCTGGTGGGCCACAGTCCATGGGGTCGCACAGAGTTGGACACGACTGAAGTGACTCAGCACACATGCAACATCTGCAGGACCCAGGATGAGCGCAGAGGCCCGCCAACCCTGTGTCCACATGTATTGAATGGTTAAGTCAAATACCATTTTATCTTCCCTTCCTTTATACACAGAGCTTCAACATGCTGTGGAACTGTGCTGTCTGGCTGAGGCAACCACCCCCAGCCACAGGTGGCTATTTAAATTTAAATCCAGTAAAATTTAAAATTCCATTCCTTGGCTTCACTGGCTGCATTCAATAGCCCAGGCATCCAGTCCAGCAGCTGCTGCGTTGGACAGAGAACATTGCTTCATCGTGGCAGGTAGGTTTCTAGTGCACAGTGCTGGGTCTGGAAGGACGCAAGTGAATTTAGAATTCCACGACTCCTTGGCCTTCTGGAATGGGGTGCAGGGGAGAATGTAGGCCGGCCGGCCTCTGGGCCCAGGCTCCCCACCTCCTTTTCTTTTGGCTGCATGGAAGCCCCGGCCTCCCCTGCCTCCCTCGTGGGCCTGAGGCTGATGCACCGGCAGCACTGTCTGCCCTCAGGACAGAGGCAGGCGGGGAGGCAGGTGTGGGGCGTCTGGGCAAGGACCTCAGGGATCCCAGGTCACGGCTGGGGTCGGGAACCCTGTGGGTTCCACCTTCTGGATGGGCACCCTGTGGCCCCGGGGGTTCCTCACCCTGTGGAGAAGGGCCACTGGAGAAAAGCCAGAGCAGAGGCCCACTGGCCGTCTAAGAGAAGAAAAGGCAGATAACACAGGGCCCAGCACGAGGGTGCCCTCGAGGGACGGTGGCCTCTCTTACTGTCTGAACACAAGATGAGCCAAATCTACTGAGCCACCCCTTCGAGGTCGAAGATGCCACCCCCACGCGCTCCTGGAGGCAGCACACGGAGCCCTGCTGGGTGAGGGCAGGGCAGCTGGCACAGACGGGCCATACCACCCAACCCCCTGGGGGCCCAGCCCCGCCTTAGACAACCCCCACGCCACCCTAACAAACAGGCCAAGCGTGCCCCTCCTTCCTCTGACCCCAGCTGACCCAAATGCCAGAGAATCTGGGGCAGCTGGGAGGCCTCAGACTTCTGAACACACTTCATCCACTCTAGCCCCTTCTATGTGGAAGGCACCTTCCAAGGCCTTGTGTCTTTTGAGAGACCTCGCATCACCTTTCTCATTCATTCACTTAAAATATCTAAGGGCTTCAGGAGAACCCGCTGAGAGCCAGACCCTGTGATGGGTGCAGGGGACAAATGGCTGACAAGACCGAGAGTCTGGGCCCCTTGGGAGCTTTCACCGGAAAAGGTGACCCAACAAGCTCATTACTCCTGAGATCAATGTGAGCAAAGAGCTGTAGGTGCCACTGGAATACACAGACCCACTGAGGGAGTCAGGACACCAGACCTGAAGGATGAGCAGGAGCTGGGATCCTGGGGTGGGGGTGGGGGGTGCCAGGGAGCCATGCCCACCCCAGACCCCTCCCCTGGAGGCTCTGCCTTCACTGGACTGCTGGTCCCGGAGCCCCCAGGCCAGTCTGACCTGCAGCCGGGATGAGAATGGAGGACTCACAGAAAGAGGATGGCAGAGGGACAGCGACGTGCAAAGGCCCCAGAATGAAGGGCATTTGAGAAAAGGTGGCATCCCCTGCCCCCAAGGCCCTTCGGTAATATACTTGTGGACGGATGGGATCTGAGCCGCTGGATCTGAACACACAGGCCGTGTCTGCCTGCTCAACCTTCCCCTGTCCACATGCAGTGAAGCAAGAAGACATTCTTTAAGGGACAACAAACAGCAATTAAAAAGCATGGCCAGAGCCCCCCTTCCCAGCGCTCACTTTTCTTTGCAGATGGTTCACGCAGCGCCTGTTTAAACTGTACAGGCTAAACTTCTTAATAGCTCGGTTCCAAGGAAGCAGATTGTTTCTGGAGCTTGTTAAGAGGTGACAGAATCCTGCGGTGCCGGCGTCGGGGGAGGGTGCTTCCTCCCCTAGCATCACCCCAGGCTGAGGTCTGTGAGGCCGGGGGAGGGGTCGGGCCTCGGGACTCGCCCTCTGGGTGACAGCCCCCTACCCCACTGCCCCACCGTTGCACCCTGGAGCCAGGAAATGCTCCAACCGCTGCACTGTGGAACTTCCCAGAGTGGGGGGTGCAGAGGCCAGGGGCTCAGGTGGAGATTCTGTGGGACACGGCCGTTCACTCGTTAGCCCTGAATCACACCAGGAGAAAGTTAATCCCTTCTTTTCCAATCTTTCCGACCCGGTCAAGGAGAGCGTCTCAGTTAGGTGCCATTATACCCTTAACACTTAATACTTTCCCAGTGTTCTCTTTAAGGAAGAGATCAGGTCTTGGCAAGAGCAACAGCATCAGGCCAGCGCTCAGGACCTGTGCTTCATCACAGCATTTCATGCTCATCGCTTCCTCCTTTGGCAGCACGCAAAAGCTGGCTTTGCCCTGGATTGTGATAGGTTCCCTTCCAAATGAGTTAGGGAAAGAGTGAGTTGATTTAAATGAAAACATGATTTTGTAAATGTTAACAGAAGTGGTAGGAAATACAGTGAACATCAGAGAATACACAAGTGACTGCAGATGGGGGAAATGCTGGAGAGGAGAAAGGACCCAGCTCTGTGGTCTGACAAAGCTGGGCTCAAATGCAGGCCCCAGGGCCTCTGGCTGGGAGGGGTCAGGGGGTGGCAGAAGCCTCCCTGGGCATGTAGGAGTGTCTTCTGTTCCCTAGGCCTGCAGGGGGGCCCTGTGGGGGCTCAAGGTGACCCTCTGGGGCTCTTTCCAGGAGTTAGGCCAGCTCAGGAGATCTGCAGAGTTATACCCCTTACCAGCTCCAAGGAAGGGCTCAAAGCCAATCTTGGCTTTGCTACCAGGCTGTGTGACCTTGGGCACATTCCTTAACCTCTCTGAGCCTCAGTTTCTTCATCTGTAAAATGAGGCTAACATGAGGATCTCTCCCATAGGTTTTGATCATTTAGTGAGGTAAAGAAAATAAAATGCTTAGCAACGTACCTGGTACATAGAGTGTGTTCAGTACAGATGAGCCTTCAAAATTGAATTGAACTCAACTGGGTTTCATTTAAATTAATCAAGTCATGAAGGAAGGAAGTTCTGGAGCCAGAAGCCTCTGTGGCCTTTAAAACCAAGCCCAGCGCCTGGGCAGCAGCACCCTAGTTGAGGGTAATGTCTGGCCCGGTGGTCATTTTGAATGTAAGAAAGAACAGAACTGTTCAACATCAGGGAAATGGGTAAGCAACTGGAGATGAATCCCCACCGCGGACTGTCCGGCAAATATTTAAAATGATGTCACAGAAGAATATTTAATGTCATGGAACGATGCTTAGATATATGAGGAGGACAGAAAAGCTGTACAAAAAAAGTATGTACATATTCATCATGAAAAAAAGAGGCACTGATCCATGCCACAGTACTGATGACCTCTGAAAATATGCTAAGTGAAAGGAGCCAGCCACAAAAGGCTGCTTCCTGTATGATCCCGTTTATATGAAATGTCTCAAATAGGCAAACCCACAGAGATAGAAAGTAGGGCAGTGGTTACCTGGGGGTGGAGGGAATGGGGGAGGTTGATGGTTAACGGGTACAAAGTTTCTTTTGGGGGAAATGAAAATATTTTAAAATTGACTGTAGTGAAACTCTGTGAATATACTAAAAGCCATTGAGCTGTACACTTTAAATGAGTGAAGATGGGTGAATAGTATGGTACATGAGTTATATTTCATTAAAGGGGTTAAAAATTAAGCACAGTGCAATTTTTTCTCTAAAATTAAGAAATACATATTTATATGCTATATATTAATCTTAGAAAAGCAAATAATACTGTACATACTTTTGAACAGCTTTGATGTATATATACAATATGCATATGTTATATGCATATATATCATTATATATTAATATGTATGTATATCTTCCTATCTATTTGCCTGTCTATCTACGGAGAGAGAGAGACTTGGAAGGCAATACAAATATATTTGCAATGGGCTTATGGTGATTTTTTTCCTTTTCGTTTATCTATATTTTCTAAAATTTCTACCATAAATATGTTCAATATTTGCAAAAATAATGAAAGCATTTTCTGCCTTTCTCTAAGAACACCTCATTTTGAATTTCAATGTCAGTGAAATCAGGACCAAAGCCACTTCCCGAGTGGGCTCACTTCCCCCAGAACTCAAGCCGTTACCTTGTCCACTTGGAGGGGCAGCGCGAACCTCTTGAGGGTGGGCACGGAGGTGAGCCTGGAGTTCTCCTCGAAGTCCTTGTTCAGGTTGGCCAAGTAGAAGAGCTGGTAGAGGCTGCCGTCCTCATAGGCGATGACGTCGAACAGGAGGCAGCCGTCCTCTTCGTAGGCGTTGACGTGGTGAAACACCACCATGGGGTCCGTGTAATACTTGGTCAGCACAGGCTTCCGCGTCCTTCGGTCGACGATGTGAATGTGAGTCTGAAAGGAGACGCAGCCCAGGGCTCAGCTCCCCCTCTGCCAGCCCCACACTGCAGCACTGGGCAGGGGACGAGGCCCAGCCAACCATTCAACTGCTCGGGACCCTTAAGCAACCCTTCGCCTTTCTGAGCCTCTCTGTCCCACTCCAGGCAAACCTCACAGAAGCCATGGGGAGGAGGGAAGCTTTGCCGCACGGGGTCTCGGCCTCACCTGGAGGACCGGACCTTTCAGAAAGGCCCCTGATAGTGCACCGTCTCCCCGACCCTCACTCGACTGAGATCCAGGTGGGCGGCAACCGGCCAGCTCCCCGGCAGTGGCCGAGTTGGGGAGGACCAGTCAGGGCCAGCCCTCTCACCTTCCGCAGGTCCCACCCATGGCCAGAGGCCCTGAAGCCCCGTCCTGGGTCCCCTCCCCTGACCCCGGCTCACTGCAGATTGTCCCAGCAACCCGGCTGCCCTGGAGGGCTGCGGTGCTGAGGTCTAGTCAAGCTGATATTAGCTCAGTAGGCCTTCGCACACACCTCTGGGTGTCACAGGCGGTATCACTCTGGGTAGCAATTAGCCGTATCTGCAGCCCCAGTTGCTTAATCCAAGGGTGAAGGGGTGTTTTCTTTCTTTTGCCAGCTCTGGCCTAACCATCCTCCTCTGAAAGGAGGGAGGGGCAGCTCCAGCCACCTCCTCTGGCTCATCGTCTCTTTCTCTCTTTCCCCAAAATCAAGCTCTGAAGCTAAGTGGGGATGATGGGGGCTGAATGTTGCAGAGGGACAGTGGGTTTGGGAGATGAACACAGGGCAGAAGTGACAGGCACTTCTTTCCCATAAACCCAATCCTGGGGTCAGCTGCAGGGACTGCTCAGAAAACTCTCCAAATGCATTCAAAGCCCTCCCAGGGCTCGGGGGCTCTCACTGCGGGACTCTCTGGGGTCAGAGATCCCTGGGGGATCCCTGCAGCCTGGAGGCCTACAGGGCCCTGATGCTTCAGGTCCTCCAGAGCAAACCCACTTCCACTGGCCCCCTGATGGCCCCCTTGCCCAGCTCATTCGTGCCACAAACACTGACACATTTTGGGGAGAACTAGAGAGATAAACTCCCCACACTTTCATGCAGTTTATAGTCCAGTGGGGGTGAAGCCAAGGGTCAGTGACCAAATGTACATGTGAGGGATAATGGCTGAGCACGAATGGGAAGAGGTGGGAGGTGAAGAAAGTCTGGTAGTGGGGAGGGGTCTGTGACAAACAGGAAGACCTCAGGGAAGGGGGTGGGGGTTGGCCTTAGAGCCAGACCTGCATTCATCAGGGGAGGGAGCCGGCTGGGGAAGAGCCTTCCAGGGGAGGGGGCAGAAAGTGCAGAGGTCCCGAGGCAGGAACAAGTTGGGCAGGTCTGAGATGGAGGAGGGAGCCAGAGGCTGGGCTGAGGGCGTGAAGAGGGCCTTCCCAGGCCTGTGAGAGAGGCCTCTGGGTCTGATTCTGGGGAAGACGGGGAACCAGCAGAAGGTTCTGAGCAGGGGAGGGACCTCACAGAGCTACTTTGCTCCCTCTCCTCCCTGAGAATGCAGGCATTAAAGAGGGGGCGGCCACAAAGACATCTCTGTATGGGTGCCCGAGGATGCTCGTGGAAAGGGGAGCACAAGGGTGCTGAATGGACAATGGAGTGGCCCTCTGGCGGGGCTGGATGGGGAGGCGGAGGGGACTTGGCTGCTGCTTTCTACACTCGTGTGCTATTTGAACAGACAAGGCTGAGCTCCTTGCCCTAACTCGGGACCCCTGTGAAGGCCCACCCAGCCTCAGAAGTCTCTGGAAGGCTGGTTGGTGTCTCTGGGGACACTGCCTAGGAGCTCACTTCCTCCCCCGTTGAGCCGCACCCCACCCCCCCACCTGCTGACCTCCAGCTGGCTCTGGCTGTCCCGGTGCTACTGGGGGTCCCCCGCCGGGCCTTACCTTGTCCTCCCCGTGGAAGGCCAGGCAGGAAGCCCAGCTCACGCCCCGAATGTAGGCCGTGGCCATCTTGAGGATGTCCAACTTGAAAGGCTGCTCAAGGAAAATGATGTAGTTCTCAGTGACTCCGAAGCTGTGGTAATAGCTCGGGGAGAGGAGGGAGCGGGCAGCGATGGAGCAGAAGACCTCCGTGTGCTTCAGGGGGCTCCGGCCCTCCTTCCTGCCCCCTGGAGAGAAGCCAGGCTCAGGAGCAGCGTGGGACCTGACCGCCCCCAAGGACACCACGGGGCCACTGCTTCTACAGCCCAGACTCAGCCTGCCCCGCTCCTGAGAAGAGCCTTCGAGTGAGACTGGACAGCAAACCGGGTGAGGGACTGCTGCCTGGCTGAGGCAGGGACCGGACCTTCCCCCCAGGGGGCCTGGTTTAGCATCTGAAACCACTGCCTTCCCAGGCTCAAGGCCCCAGGAACAATGGGCCCCTGGGCCAGGTGTCGCCAACTCCGGCCCAGGGCTAAGCCGGCCTCCACCTGCTTCCGAAATAAAGGTTCATCTGGAGCGTGGGCCACGCTGCTGCCTCCTGCAGAGCCCACGGCTGCTTTGCCTTCAGGATTCAGAGTCGAGCAGACGTGACGCAGACCACACAGCCGGCAAAGTCTCAAATATTTACGTTGGGGCCCTTTACGGAAAACATTTGCCAACCCCCGCTCTGGAGCAACACTCCTCAAGCTTCCACGTGCACGCAGATCATCTGTGGGGTCATGACAAAGTGTGGAGGCTGACTCAGCCTGTGGGGCGGAGCCCAAGGCTCTGTATTTCTGTCAGTCTCCCAGGCCATGCCCTGGGGGAAGGCACGGCAACCCACTCGAGCGTTCGTGCCTGGAGAATCCCCATGGACAGAGGAGCCTGGCAGGATACAGTCCACGGGGTCGCAAAGAGTTGGACACAACTGAGCAACGAAGCACAGCTGCACCTGGGCCCTGGGCTGGCTTCCCAGGGCTCAGCTTTGACATGTGGCTGAGGACCATCGTCTGACATGCATTTCACGGAGTTTCTATGAATTCCTCTTGGCATTGTCTGTTCTGAGACACCTAGGGGTGAGCCCAAGTGCCTATATTGATGTGACAGACTGTGACAGTCAAGGTCGGCTGTATGATTCCCATTTTACAGATGGGAAACTGAGGCTTGGCGGGACAGCCAAAGGCACAGGGTTAAGCCAAGAAGACGCAGTCCCCTCAGCCTGGCCACCTCCTCTGTTCTTTGGAGAGAAGGGAGGGAACTGAAGGAAATACTGCAGGCGTGCGAGCACCTCGCCTGGCACCCAGCACGAAGGTGCTCAGGACTGCTCGCTCTTATTCCTCTGCAAGGATGAGTCACCCGCTGGCCAAGAGGCCTCCCCACCCAGGCCTGGGGCTGGGTTATAATGAGTTACACGCAAGCGTCCCTACCTGTCTTGTGGCCACCTGTGCACACTGGAAACAGCTGACTGGTGGGAGGGAGGCTGTCGGGTTGTGGGTGTAGGTCTTTTCTTCACTAAACAAATGGGACACACAGCAAACGGGAAGGAAAGGCACCCTGGCCTGGGAGGCAGGAAGCAGGTGTGAATCCTGGTGAAGCACCAGCCTGGAGCAGGTGCGGAGGGTACCTGCTCTGAACCGTGGGGATGTCACCCGATCCCCTGGGGCTCCCGGTCCTCAGGAAAATGAGGTGGCAAACTCAAATGGCTAGCCTACACTCAGGTGTGACATTCTAGGATCCTGAGCTGGACCCTGTATCCCTTTATTGGCTCAATGAACGGGGGTTCCATTTAACAAGAGCACTCACTGTACTGTGTGACCCAAGGACTCCCATCTGCCAGTGGAGCCTGGCATTTGCTGAACGGGGGGCGCTCTACAGAGTGGTAAGGGAGGGGCCCACAGTGATCCTGGATGGAAACCAGTCTTCCTAAACCAGAAGGTCTAGCTGAGCACCCTCGCAGTCCTGCACCGTCCCCGGAGCCCCGCAGCTGCCCTCGGAGGCCTGGTCTCCTGGGTGTGGTGCCTAGAGGGTCCTGCCCAAATAAGGGCTAGGAGTCCTGCCCTTCTCCCCAGCAGGAACGTGCAATCACAATTGGCCTGGGCGCCGTTCCAGGCTCCCGTCTAGAAGACCCAGAGAACAGGGCGGAATCTGGACTTAATGCCCGCAGGCCTGAGCTCCCTGAACAACCCAGGGAGCCTGGCTTTTGGGGCTGGGATGAGAGACAGCAGCACAGCCCTGACAGATGCAGGTTTGTCAGAAAACTAAAAAATGAACGAATGAAAGGAAGGATGGATGATGGATGGATGGATGACGACATCAGTGATAGATTGATAAATAAATGATTAACAGATAAATTAATGAACAGGAATAGAAAAAAAAGGAGGTTGGAAGAGCAAAGGGATTCACTTCTTCCAAAAGGAAGGGTAGCATCATCCCTTTTCTCCTAAAGGAGAAAAGCGAGTCCATGGTCCTCTGATTTATCGATGTGGGCAAGTATCAGGTTGAGTGTTGTGCCATGAACCCAAACCAGAGCTCTTCCCAAAGGGCCACCCTTGGTGTTCACGCCTCATCGCAGCCCCAGAATGCCCCACCTGGGAGTGTGGCAGGGATCTTAAAGATCACATATTTTGTCTTCCCCTTGTCCACGATGGATGTGCCAACATTGAGAACGTTTCCAGCAGCGTCGTAGTGAGGATGTGATGTTGCCAGATTTACAGCCATGTATTTACGATAATCAACCTGCAAAACATGACGGTCAGCTGCTTTTAAAACCGGGAGAGGGTGAAGTCCCGCAAAGAGCTGACCGACTCCAGGTTCAGGTAGATGACAGCTATTTTTGCATGTCTCCCAACCTGAAAATAAGGCAGACATTGCCTTTAAAGGAGACGCCTCCTCTTGTGACCTGATGTAACCCCGTGGGGGCTCCCACAGCACATAGGCTGCAGGGGGCTTGGTGAGCTTGTGTGTTCTCTGATAGTTGTTCCTCTCTGACCCCGCCGGTAGCCTCGGTGTGGAAACCCGACGCCTCACCGCAGAGAGCTCCAAGTAACAGCGTGGGCAGTCCTAAGGCCCTGGTGAAGTCATTGAAATCCTCCCCTTTTGTATCCCACAGAGGCATAAATCCCCAGGCCTCTCTCCTAGGGTTATTCTGGGAACGGAGAGGTTACAAAAAGCATCTGGTCAAAGGGAAACACTGACTAACGACCTCAGTAACGATCCCGACTCCAAACAGGCCACAACCACAGAATGATGGGGTGGCCGGAACCAGCCGCCCGCCCTTCCTCTCCTAGAACAGCACAACCTCTGGCCAAAAGTCAGGCGCTACCTCCTTCTCACCTAGTGATTCCTCTCTGCAACTTTGTGGAAAGCGCTCCTCAGTTGGACCTATGCTGCCTAGCTTCAGAGGAGCCGGATGTGATTTTATGGCTAAGAAAAGCACTCCCTCTAACAGAGTGTTAAGATGTATTGCAAAGACATCAAGGCTTTGAACAGCCAGCTGGAGAAAACTGAAAGTGGGTCTACTGATCTTCAAGAAAATACAGACATGCTTCTGCCCAGGAAAGGTATCCGCTTGGGCACTGGCTTTTGCACCCATGCTCTGTGCCTAATGCCTCCCTTTTCAGGGCTGATGGGAATCCTGGACAGCCCAGCACTGCCATTCGTTCCAATTTCCATTGAGGGGCCACTCAGTGCCGAGGACTGTCGACACTGTTAGGGGTCAACCTGGATCTTCCAAAAAGGCAAGTTGAAGCCAGTCCTAACCGCTCATGTCTATATTTTGGAAATAGGGTTAAAATGAGGTCATTCTGGAATAGGGTGGGTGATTTATATATCTTTACAAGAGATTGGAACGAGGCATCTGTAAACCAAGGGGCGGCCACCAGAAGCAGGAAGAGGCAAAGAAGTTTCCTCCCCTAGAAGCTGCAGAGAGAACAGGGCCTGCCAGCACCTGATTTCAGACTTCCGGCCTTCAGAACTGTGAGGGAATACATTGCTGCTGACCTAAGCCACCTAGTTTGTGTTCCTTTGTCATGGGAGTGCTAGGAACAAATTTAGACACAGAGATGACAGGACAGAGTCCTGCCATCAGGAAGCTTAGAATCTAGTGCTAAGATGCCCACGGGGATCAGAGGGGGGCTCTTCTCTGAGGGCCTGCAGCCTCCTGGCCTCCCCACAGAGGGTCCATTCCTTAAGTCAGGCACTGAGGCTGCTTGTAGATTCACTGATACCTTCTCCAGGGTTTCCAGGGTCTGGGGGTTGATTTTCCTGATGTAATTGGTCTCTGTGGTCGCGTAGAAGTCTTCTCCACACCTCATGATGTTGATCAGACAGTTGTCTGTGAAATCGGGGATGGTGTGGGACAGGTAGGAGAAAGCTCTGGGGAGGAAAGCAAATCAGCGGGTCAGCCACTTGTCCACTCAGCTGGAAGGTTCTACTGCAGATGGCTTTAGTTTGCCTACCACTTAAAACACTTTGGTTCAACTAAGGCAGGGAAAATGCTGCATCATAACTGGTCACTTGAGGAATCTAACAGTCCAGAGAGCGAGTTAACCCAAAACACCACCACATCCAATCAGCTAAGAAGGGAGGCAGCTGGGACAACAGGCTGCCCACTGAGCCCTCCCCAGCTCCCCAAATCCAAAGGTCTCCCCCACCAGAGCCATCAAGAGCTGGTGGACTGTTCTCAAGTATTTTAAGAAGCTCTAGAGAAATCATACACATACCCATAATGGCTCCCCCGAAACTAGAAAAGCAGTTGATCTCTGCTTTGAGAAGGAATGAGAGTCCACCCTCGTTACCTCAACTTTGTCCAAGAAATTCCTTTCTTTGAAAAAGGAAAGTAAGCCGAGTTAAGAACTGATCATTGATTAGAAGGCAAACTCAAAGCTGGAAGTCTTGGCCCCGTGTACTGGTGAGTGCTCCCCCTCCTGGCAATCCGTGTAACAGCAAGGATGCCGCACGAGCTGCGGTGCTCAATTCCTTCCGTCCCGCGGTCCCCTTGCTCCTCCCGCGTCTGCAGTGGGTGTTGCCAGCCTGCTGTTTGCCGGACCCCCAGCGCTGGAAGCTGGGACTGGTGAGATGATGTCAGTTCTGGAGAAGCAGAAACCAGCTTCCCTCTCCAGGCCAGTCTACCTCTAAGACATTTCACAACCCTTCTATGCCTAAAGAGTATCAGAAAGGAGAGGACGACCGCTGCCCTGATTCCCTGGCCAAAAATTCAAAACGTGTAAGGCATTCATATGCATCACAACCCAGATGATTTTAAATGTATACAACTGAAAATCTCCCCCATCCTTCCTCCTGTTGGTCCCCTACCTCGCCCATGCCTTCTCCCAGGCTTTCTGCACATTGAAAAACAAACCTAGATATCCCCCTGCCTTATAGCACAAATTACAGCATATTATATGCTCTTTCTACACTTTACTTTTTTTTCCTTTTTCCCCACTTAGCAGTATATCCTGGAAATCTCCATTCAGTACATAGAGAGGTCCTCAGTGCTTTTTATATCTGCCTGGTGTTTTCCTGTATAGTGTTACTGAGATTTATTTAACACTCTTCTGTTAATGATCACCTGAGTTATTTTCAGTTCCTCATCAAAGCAAATCATTCAGCCATGAATAACCTTGTACATCTGTCATTTCAGACACAAGCAAGCACCTCTCTGGACTGAAGGGAATGTGCATTTGTAATTTTGATAGGTGATTTCAAAGTGCTCTCCCACCAGCCATGTGGGAGAACATCTGACAATCTGCCAGATGCTCTTTGCCTCGCCTGCTATCAGTGATCCAAAAGTACGTAGCCTGCGTGGTCAAAGGCCATCACAGGAAGTTTTCCATCCACCCTAAACACACCGTCAGAGCAAACGCTGGTTGTCTCGACCGTCAAGGATATCAGAAAGCGGGACTAGATACAAAACGGACAGTTACTTGGAAAATATGTTTTTGCAGGGGTCTGGATAGGCCATTGTTCCAAATTCTGACACCACAATCCTGTTTGCTTCGATATTGGCAGTGTAGGTATCACTTCTCAGGTATTTGCTCCTGTAGTAGACTTCGCCTGAAAGAGAAGCAGCAGAATCATCCCAGGCTTATTTGAAACTTATCTGAACTTCTTTCCGCCATGCTAGGGATGTGACAGGGTGGGGGTGGGGGTGGGGTGGCTTACTGAGACCGTCCCTTTAATGCGTGTGCTGCATACAAGCAGTGGTGTGAACTCTCACATACATTTCGGCAAGGTTGACTCACAACAATTCGGCAAGGTAAGTATTCCTAGTCCCAGCTCCATCTATGTATGAGGAAACTGAGGCTCAGCAATGTTCCATCGCCTTGTCCAGCGTCACTCAGAGGCCTGCCGGCCCAGGCCATTGACCGTGCTTTCCACTATGTTGGAATACCTCCAGGTAAGGTCCAGGTTTGGAGGACTGATACAGAAGGCCCCATCCTCAGGCTGGCTTTCCCGAGGGCCCAGTTCAGTTCTGGGAGCCTTACATTAACAATTTAGCCCCTGGAGTAACATTTTTTTAAATTTAAATAAACATGGTTTCATTTTTAATTATTAATGGTACAGAAGACTTTTTGCTCTAGCTAAAATTATTCTCTAAATCTCTAAAAGATTTTAGGAGCTCTAGGGGAGAATCTAGGAGCTGCCTGTTCTTCTTGGCTCGTGACTGTGTCACTCTGATCTCTGGTTCCCTTGCCACCGCTTTCCAAAGCCCTTGAAAGATGAGTGGCATTGAACCACAAATCGGGGAGGTGGGGCTAGGAAAGAGGGCGAGGTGTTCCCAGTCAGTCTCCCCAGAGAGTCCGTAAGTCAAGACCTGGGGTTGGGGAGCACAGCCCACTTCCTGTAAGGGCTGAGTCAGCACTGGCTGAAGCACCAGTTAGGTGCTTGAGAGCAGCAGGGATGAGATGAGGCTGGGGGACCCGTGGGGACCCCACCAGATCTTCAGGGCTGTGAATACTTAGGCCTGGGACCTTCATTTTGGAGGATAATTTGAAATCTCTAGAATTTGGTGTGTGTTTTTTTTGCCATTAATTAGCACATGACATTATGTTGACTTTTCATATTCCTTCACCTATGCTTCCATGGTTGGTACAATTATAATATGCCAAAAAGTGGGGCCTAACTGACAGCTCATTCCCATCAGAGAAATGCCCATCACATATCCACTGTCACAATGATGGGCTTCAAGGAGAGACTGCCTCTTAGGAAACTCTTGCCCAGGGATTGACATCTATACACTACTATATATAAAGTTGATAACTAATAAGGACTTACTGTACAGCACAGGGAACTCTACCCAATACTCTGTTATAGCCTATGTGGGAAAAGAATCTAAAAAAAGAGCTGTTCAGTCGCTCAGCCGTGTCCAACTCTCTTTCGACCCCATGCCTGCAGCATGCCAGCAGGCTCCTCTGTCCATGGGATTCTCCTGGCAAGAGTACTAGAGTGGGTTACCATGTCCTTCTCCAAGAAAAAAGAGTGGATACACGTATGTGTATAACTGATTCACTTTGCTGTACACTTGAAACTAACACAGCCTTGTAAATCAACTATAATTTAAAAAAAAAGTCTCTGTGACTTTGACTCTTGGAATTCACGTTTGAATCCTCATGGGATGATGACTTTGTTTCTTATTGGAAAATAATCAAATCTATCGCTAAGGGGGACCTGGGTTGACTCATCTCCATGTGCTTTTTAAAAAATTTTAATTTTTAAAGAATTTTAGACTAAAAGAAAAAAGTCCTCCTGTATACCCTTCCCCATCTCCACTTGGCCTTTATTATTGAAATCTTTGTTAATGTGTGAAAGCATTATCTTCTAGTGGCCTCTGCTGAGGGTTATGAGTCATTTTTCTGTCTTTTGTTTCCTTACTCCAGTTCTTTTCTTCCTGATTTGGCACTAATTTCTGTTCTTCATGCTAACTGTGCACTAGAACCACCTGGTTTTAAAGATCACGGAAGCCTGAGCCGCACCACAGCAGTATGCTTGAGGTTGTCTGGGAACACAGAAGCTCTATCCTTACCGTTCGAGCCCTGGGCAGGGTCTCAGGATGCACAGCTTAAATGAGCCTCCTGGGGGATTCTGATGCAGGAACCCACAGACCACCTTTTGAGAAGTACTGGCTTTATGTTACCTGCAAATCAGAGGGCCCTGATGGCCTTATGCGTGCCCTCTTAAATTGTGTAGAGAAGTACTTAATGTTTTTGTTTATATCTCCACTGTTAGACACAGCGGAGGCTTTGAGAGCTCTAGAGAGGAGAGGAGAGACCAGGCCAGCCTGTGCTGCACCAACACGTGCAACCTGACCGACCATCTCAGAAAAGAACAGAAAACAGCTGCTTCCCTCTGAGAGTAAAGTTTTAGTCTGAAACCCACGAGAAACTTTTAGGGGCTTCCCAGGTGGCTCAGTGGTAAAGGCTCCACCTGCAATGCAGGAGCCACAGGAGATGCGGGTTGGATCCCTGGGTCTGGGAGATCCCCTGGAAGAGGAAATGGTAACCCACTCCAGTATTCTTGCCTGGAAAATCCCATGGACAGAGGATCCTGGTGGGTTTCCGTGCATGGGATCACAAAAGAGTCGGACATGATTTAACAACTAAACCAGAAGAGAATTAAAACTTGTGTGTTGCTTTAAGCTACTCCATCTGTGGTCATTTGTTACAGCACCCATGGCAAACCATGTGGTGCTCTTACCGTTTCTGATTGTGAAGCTGTGGAGCAAGGCCAGGCCATCGAACCAGTGGTTGTATCTGGTCTCACCCACCGTGTGCATCCCAGGCCCATTGCGGAGCAGGGTTCCCTGCAGCCAGGCTGGAATCTTGCCTGATGAGAGAAAGAATGTTTAGTTTCCAGCTCTGCACCTAAACCAGAAAGCTCAAAGAAGTGGCCATACAGCCCCTCTGCCACTCACTGCATCTGTTCACTTCCAGAAAGGATGTGCCTGTGTTCACTTCCAGAAAGGATGTGTGGGTGCTGAGGATACCGAGATAGTATCTCAACTTTCAAGTGGGGCTTTCCAGGTGGCACTAGTGGGGAAGAACCCTCCTGTCAGTGCAGGAGACATAAGAGACACAGGCTCTATCCCTGGGTTGGGAAGATGGCCTGGAGGGGGGCATGGCAGCCCACTGCAGTATTCTTGCCTGGAGAATCCCACGGACAGAGGAGCCTGGCAGGTTACAGTCCACGGAGACACAAAGAGCTGGACACGACTGAGCACCCATGCACACTGCTTCCAAGGAACTCATCATCCATTAAGAGACAAAGACAAAGGGAAATACCCAAAACACTCTGAGATAAAGGCAATGCAACAGACTCAACAAGGGTGCTGGGTGGAGCAGAACTCCACTCCAAGGTGGGGTGAGAGCAGGAGGGTGAGGAACACTTCCTGGAGGAGGTGACCTGGTTGAGTTTTGAGGGAGAGTTGGTGTTTGCCTTGCAAAGGCATGAGGAAAGAACATTCTAGAGCTGTGCTGTCCCATGTAGGGGAACTGTGTACTGGAAACTTGGCTAGTCCCAACGGAAAGGTACAGTAATTGTGAAACGCACACCAGATTCCAGAGACTTAGTATGAAAAAGAAATGTAATACATCTCATTAGCAATTTAAAAACATTAGTTATATGTTGAACTGATACCATTTTGGATATGTGGCATTAAGTGAAAAACACTATTAAAATTAACGTCCTCTGTATTTTTGTACTTTTTTGTACGGGGCTACTAGAAAATTTTAAATTATACATGAGGTAGGCATTCCATGGCTGTTGGGACTGTGCTGCAGGTGCTGTCGGTGCCCTGCCCACGTGCCGCTTTCTCCTCTCCCTGAAGGCTGCTTTCTGCAGATACCTAAAGCTCTTCACCTGAGGGCTTTGTTCTCACTGTGGAGCAGCTCTGCACATGCGTGGGCAAGCCGGAACCACGTTGGAGAGTTAATGCCCCTGGAAGCTGCTCTCACCTGACGATAGATGGGTGCTGTGGGTCCAAGGCCACCACTTCTTGTCCTCCGTGGACACAATGTGAGGCATGGTTTATACTTTGCTTGGAGGATCCAGCTCCAATGACTCCTGGTGGTCAATGGCTTGAAAACGCCTCCTTTGCTGCCTTCCCAGTGTTTCTTGGGAAGCACTTCCCAAATAAATGACTGACTCCTGAATTCTTAGCTCTGGAGAAACTTGAACCCAGAGACCAGAAGTGTGCAAGCTGTTTAGTAAGAGCTGGCCTGTAACTTTCAAGTGAGGGTATAGCAAGTATTGAGGTTGCAGGGTTACGTAGGGCCAAGAGGCCAAGGTCAACAAGACCATACCTAGCTTTGATTTGGTGCTTAGGAGAAAGGGGCACTTTTGATGGATGTGGGAATAATAGGATTAATTTTTTTTTGCAATTTTAAAAATTGAGATAAAATTCACATAACATAAATCCATCATTTCAAAGTATACAATTCAGGGTATTTTTTTTTTTTTTTTTTTTAGTATATTTACAATGTTGTGCAACCATACCACTAACCCAAGAGCATTTTCATCACCCCCAAAAGAATCCCTGTGCCCATTAGCAGTTAATCCGCATATGCCATCCAGCCCCTAGCAACCCCTAATCCACGTTCTGTCTCTAAGGACCTACCTCTTCTCATACAAATGGAATGTGATTGGATTTGGGGTACCAAAAGTTATTTCTGGCTATGGTGTAGACTGTGGGTGGGAGGAGAAGCTAGAGAGAGGTGGGAAGACCTGAGAGAGGAGGAAGATAGTAGCAGTGGGACAGAGAGAAACGGATAAAACAAAGGGACTTAGAGTTTGACTAATTGTAGGGAAGCGGGAGGGGAACACTGAAAAAGTGCCAGCCGAGTCTCTTGCCTTGGGTGTGACTATTCACAGCGACCTGGGACACAGGAGAAGGAGCAGGTTGAGGCAGAGCAGGGAAAGATGAATCTGAGCTTATAAGTAAAGCCCTAGACGTAAAAAGAAGAACATTTGTGCTGTGCCTAGTCGCTCAGTCATGCCCATCTCTTTGCAACCCCATGAACTGTGGCCCACCAGGCTCCTCTGTCCATGGGGATTCTCCAGGTAAGAATACTGGAGTGGGTAGACTATCCCTTCTCCGGGGGATCTTCCTGACTCAGGAACCAAACCAGGGTCTCCTGCATTGCAGGCGGATTCTTTACCCGCTGAGCTACCAGGGAAGCCCCAAGAAGAACGTTCACTGAGCACGATGTGCTGTAGTAGATTAAATCATGTAGTCATTGCAGCAGCCCCATGTGGTAGATGCGTGCTGACTCCATTAGCCACACGAGGAAGCTGAGTCCGGAAATGCTCAAGTGCCTTGTAAAGGAAGGGTCAGAGTCACAAATGCACTGCCGGATGTGAGGCCAGAGCCTTGGCCTGGCCTCCCTGGACAGATGCGGCCACACAGCAGCGTGCGCGGCGAGCTGCCTGCAAGCAGACCCTGACCCGTGGATTAGACGCGACCCTGCGGGGAGGCCGGCCCCGGGCTGGAGCCTGACCTCTGCAAGTCGCTGTTTCTCCCGGGCCCTCAGTCTCACACCCGTCGGGGGAGGAGACCCAGTTTACAGCAGTGGTCCCCCACCTGCATGCAGCCAGAGCACTCTGAAAACACACATTTCTGGGCTCCACCCCTGGGTATCTGATTCAGAGGGTCTGAAGCGGGCCCAGGAATTTGAGATTCCAACGGGAGCCTGGGGAGTGCTCGTGCTGCAGGGCTGGGGACCCTCCTTTGAAAACAACTGACTTAGATCTAGAGGTTCATTCGGCGTCTCGGGTCCTGGGATTCTTGTTCTCTAAAATTCCCAAGTATTGACATGCAGTCACTAAATATGAGTTGTAAAGGGAGTATAATGGCAAATGCCCACTATACCCCAGAGCATACAATGGTGGGTATCACAGATCCACATTCTTTAAGAATAAAAAGTTATAGTAAGTGTACATTTGTGTTTTGAAAAAATATTTATATATAAAGTCTACCTATCAACAGATTAATCTATCTTTGTACTATCTTATGGGTTTCCCCAGTGGCTCAATGGTAAAGAATCCACCTGCAATGCAGGAGACTTGGGTTCAGTCCCTGGGTTGGGAAGATCTCCTGGAGGAGGGCAGGGCAACCCACTCCAGTATTCTTGCCTGGGGAATCCCATGGACAGAGGAGCCTGGTGGGCTACCGTCCATATAGTTACAAAGGGTCAGACACAGCTGAAGCGACGGAGCATGCATGCATATACTATCTATATTGATGTTTCTTTTAAAAACTTAAAATAGACTCAAATATTAATAATCCTTAAGAGACAGAAGAAATATAGCTGATTTTTATTTCCCTCTGGGTTCTCATTTGCACTTCCAAGTTTTATACCTGTGTAATATACATATACATATAGATTGCACATTACCTCTGTAATCAGAAAAAATATACATAGATGCTATTTCTTTCTTCCAAAAGCCTTCCGAGGCAATTTGGCTGCTGTAAAGCTCCAGTGTGACTTGCCTCTCACAGGGCACTGCTGTCTTGTCCTTGTGAAAACTGCCCATCTGTCCCAAACAGTGGTGTGGCTGAGCTGACCCCCTTCCCTATTCTCAGCACAGCTCCTGGGACCCGCAGTGCAGACCACTCTCTGCCTTGTAGAGTCTAAACAAGATGATCCCAGGAAAGTGGCCATGCAGAAGAGGAGGAGAAAGCTATGAAAGGAGGGTTCGTGTGGCAGCTCCCACCCTGGAGCTGTCTCATCTGCTCTGCAGTGCTTGCACCCTGAAACCGCACCTTTGAGGAAATTTCATCTGGCTCTGCGGTGCCCCTCCGCACTGTGCATGCACAGGAATGGGCGTTCGCACGTGCTTCTCATATCATTTTGAAATTAATTTAGGATGCACCCACTTTTACAAATACCACACCCTGGGGGTGGAGCACAGTTTGCAGAATAATCCCACTGGCTATGAGCCAATAGCAGTAGTCCTGGGACTTTTCTCCTGGAAGTAGTGAGAATCACTGACTCCCCTTGAAAACTGAGTTATAATGCATAAAAGCACACCGAGATTTTTCACAGGGAATATGCCTAGAATATGGATCATGTCTCCTCTGTTTATGGTTTTCCATATTTTCCAAAAATGATTTACAATGAGCATTACTTTTATAAGCAGGAAAAAAAAAGTGTACATCTAAACATATAAGTGCCCGTGGTTCATACAAAACGCTCACCTGTTACTCGGGCCCTCACAGGCTCCAGTTGCTCCTTCTTATTTCTGCCAAATATTATTTCCATCGTGCTGCTGACAGTGAACAGATGCTCGTCCGTGTTGGGGGCTGCCTCGGCCCCCCCTGTCTTCCCTCCCTGCAGCTTCCTTTAGTCTCCTTCCCTTCACATGGCACTGGCTTCTCCCCGTGCTGTCCCTCCCTGGAGGGCCTGGGATCTCTTCCTGCACAGAGAGAAGCTGTGCTGGCGTGACTTGTGTTTGGTCAAAGGTCAGTTCCCCGGCCCTGTGTCACAGCTAATCTTTAATCCTCCGATTACGTCCCCAGCTCTCCCTTTCCACTTCCACTTTTGGCTGAACCAAAAACAAACAAACAACTTTCTTGATGGGTTTAAACTGGTGGGATGGGGGGGAAGGATAAATTGGAAGATTGGGATTGATACACACTAATACATATAAAATAGATAACTAACAAGAGCTTCTGTATAGCATAGGAAACTCTACTCAATACTCTATAATGGCCTATATGGGAGAGAATCTAAAAGAGTGGCTATATTGTATAGGTATAACTGATTCATTTTGCTGTATGCCTGAAATTAACATAACACTATGTTATGCTACTGCATCAGTCGCTATGTTGTGTCCAGTTCTTTTGGGACCCCATGGACTCCTCTGTCCATGGGATTTCCCAGGCAAGAATACTGGAGTGTGTTGCCATTTCCTTCTCCAGGGGATCCTCCTGACCCAGGGATCAAACCCACATCTCCTGCATTAGCAGGTGGGTTCTTTATCAGTGAGCCATCAGGGAAGCCCCAAATCAACTATACTACAATAAAAAATGGAAACAACAACAACAACAACTAGCAAGATCATTTAGGGAAAACTGTTTTATTTTGACTAAAGTTCCCTGAGTCTCCTCACCACCACTCCCAGCAAGAAAAAAAACATCATATGTAAAGAGCAACTTAATTATATTTCTTTTTTTTGAAGAAGTAAACAAAATGTTTCATGCACCCTTGTAAACAATAAATACTAGGAACCAAAAACTGTACTCAGGAACTGTAAGGGACAGTATTGAAGGTTCCTCTGCATTTCTGAATCTCAAGGTGATGCTATCACTGGAAATCCACATTCACATTGCTATGAATGTTGGATGATAAGTTACTGACCTCACCTTCACTTATGTTGCTTTAAGAAAGAACCAACTGTTCCCTCTCTGGGTGGAGTGAGAAAAGTGAGAGGTGCTGGCCTTTGTACAACCAGCTGGGTCTAGCAGTGTCAGGGCTGGGTCCAGACTGTCTCAGGATCGCAGAGCTCAGCTCTGAGAGCAGCCTGGCCTGGCTTTGCTCCACCATGGCCACATGTTCCAATCACCTGGTTGGGAGCTTTAGCAGTGTCCATGCTGGGCCCCACTCCAGGCCCACCCAGAGTCTCTGAAGGTGCAGTCCAGCCCTCAGGAGTCTTGCAACTTCTCCAGAAGATTCTCACTTGTGCAGCAGGTGCTGAGAAACTCTGGACCAAGGAAAGATGCTACACGTTTCCAGTGATGCTAGATTCACGCTCCTCCCTTTTCTGTGTCTGGGGTACGTTATGTACCCTCTTGGGGCCTCCATTTCCTTATCTGTAAATTGATATAGTGATATCAAAATCTCAAAGAGTCAAGAGTCTAGCAAAAGCCCCTGTCCCCCAGTCAATGTGGGGGTCCTTTCTTCCCCACTGTCTCTGAAGGAATTTCTGTTTGACCCACGTTTTCCATTCAGCCCCACAATCACTTGCCAGTTTATTCTGCTGTCTGGTTTAAACATGTATATCCATGTCAGAGTTATTTATTCCTAGGTTGTGAAAGCTGAGTTCCTGTGAGGATTAAAGGAGAATGTCTGGCATACACTGAGCATTTGGGAAAAAATTACACTACCAAAGGCGGCAGCTCTGGTGCAGAAGTAAAGAGCTCGGGGCTTATGGGGATCAGAAGACCTGGGCTTTATGATTTAAAAATTGTAACTCATCACATGACCCCTCTGAACCTCACTTTATTCTGCCAAAATGGTTGGCAATGCCCAAGTCATGGGGTTTGTTGAGAGGATCAGACTGAAGCTATAAAGTGAAAACATGACCATGTTCTCCTCGTCCATTTTGTATATTCAGAAAAGCAATGGGCCCCATCCATGGAGAATATTTTCTGAGTCAAGCACTTGGTGAAGCACTCTGCATGTACTGGTGTGCTCTGGCCTTATATAATCCTGTGACATGGGTGTTCTTAGCAGCGTTTGGGGGATGAGAAAACTCAGAGAAGACAATAAGGTTGCCTTGGATCACACAGCTACTAAGAGATAGAAGCAAAACCAGGAAGTCTGACTTCAAAATACACACTCTTGACAATTTCACACAGCTCCGATGAGTGAGGGATGTTTGCTAGGTTTCTACTGAACAAAGTAATGGGTGGAGGACCCCAAGAGGGCCAGTCTTGGGTTGATATGTTAGCCTCACTATATACAGAACTCTGAAGAACCCCAGCAAGCTCTCTTCATTCAGGTTCCAACTGTTCCTCAGGGCAAAGTTATGGTGAAACAAAGGATTTCTTACAATGGTGATAATAACTTGATCGTTACAATAGATCTCCATATTCATTATCTAGAGCTGCTGTCACAAAGTAGCACAGAAGGTAATTTTCCTACTGTTCTGGAGGCTGGGAACTCCATAATCCAGGTGTCGGCAGGGTTGATTTCTTCTGAGATGTCTTCTTGGCTTGTAGACAGTCTTCTCCATGTGTCCTCACACGGTCATCCCTCTGGATGTGTGCATCCCCCCAGTGTCTCTGTGCGTCCACTTTTCCTCTTAAAAGGACACCAGTCAGTTTGGATGAGGGCCCACCGCAATGGCCTCATTTTACATTAATCACCTCTCAAAGGCCCCACCTCCAACACTGTCACATTCTGAGGGGCTAGGGGTTGGGACTTCAACATATGGAATGGGGAGGGGCACAGTTGAGCCCACCACAACATCATGAAGGCACAATGACAAGTTAATACAGGATGTGTTGGCTGAAAGTGACGGAACATCTGCTGACACACCAAAGACATGCATTTATCTCGGATATCAAGTCACCTGGGGGGCTCGGGGGCTCGGAAGCTCACCTGGGTCATCTTGCCAGGCTCCCACCTCCCACACTGCCTCCTCAGGGGTTAGTTTTTTACTCTTGGGCTTGCTCGGTTTTGCTCATGAACGGCTGCCTTCCCTCCAGGAATCATGTCCTTGCAGAATAACTACAAAAGTAAGTAGATAAGATGGGGACATAGCAGGCTTTTTTTTTTACACTTGCCTCTTTTTTTGTGGTAGAGAAAACTCTTTCCCATAATCCCCTGAGCAGATTTTTCTTAGTCTCAGTGGTTGAACAGTGTCACATGGCCTCCCCACATTGCCAGTCCCTGGCAAGGAGGAACAGCAGTGACCCGAGTTCCTTAAATCCATCAAAACTCACCCCTGAGGAGCATGTTGCCACCTGAATCGTACCAGGATTCCATCAGCAAGGAAAAAGGAGGGAATGGCTTGTGACAGGCAACCCACAGTGTTGGCTGCAGGCAGTACAATGTTCATGCATCCTCAAATTCATATTTCCTTAGCACCAACTACGGGCTGAAAATGCAGCAGCGGGTCAAACAGGAAGACTATTCTGTGCCTTCTTGGAACTTACACTGACTACATGCCAAATTCTGAGGATACAGAAGTGATTAGTGAGAGTCAGTCCCTGCCTTCTTAGGCTCTCATGATTCTCTTTCAGTTTGGGGGCTGAGTCTGCATATCCTACAGGACATACATCTCCTAAGGCAGTTAGAGGCGGTGCAGTGGTTCACAGGGCTGTCTTCATGCCAAACCTCCATCTTCCGTCTTTATAAACAGAGATAACAAGCAGCAGCTGCTATTTCCCAAGAAGCTCTGGCATCACTCTGGAACCATAAAAGCCTGACCACTGCTTTCTATGTCTTTGCTAATATGGAAGAATGGACAAGTAGGAGCTGTCTCCTGGCCTGTCCTCCGGCCTCTGATAAACACCACTCACTGGATGCTTGACACGTGCCAAGAAGTGTACTAAGTGTCTGGTTAGCCATCTTTTACTTAATCTCTTCGAGGGGCTCATTAGTAATCTTATTTTTAGAACCTCAGAGATGTGGAGGAATTGGATCAAGGTCAACAGCTAGTCAGTGCCTGTTCTTGCCCAGTACCCAGTAATGCTGCCCACTTTTTGAAGCTGTGGGTTGAGGAACAGAGTAGATATGAGACCAAAAGTAAGTGTTTCACAATTTCTAAAATGCCTTAAAATGGGACCAAAACTGGCCAATGCATAAGTGAACAGGGCAAGGGGAATATGAAGGGAAGCAGCTTTTTGTACACAAGAGTTTTGGTCATTTATCGATGTGTAACAAACCACTCTAAGACTCAGTGTCTCCAACATACAGATGGCCAAAACACACATAGAAAGATGCTCAACACGGGAATTATTGTGTGTGTGTGTGTCAGTTGCTCAGTCCCGTCCGATTCTTTGCAATCCTATGGATTGTAGCCCATCAGGCTCCTCTGTCCACGGGATTCTCCAGGCAAGAATACTGGAGTGGGTTAGAGAAATCCAAATCAAACTATAATGAGGTACCACTTCATACCAGTCAGAATGGCCATTATTAAAAAGTCTGCATGAAACAAATGCTGGAGAGACTGTGGAGAAAAGGGAACCCCCTCCTACACTGTTGGTGGGGATATAAACTGGTGTGGCCACTATGCAGAGCAGTACGGAGGTTCCTTAAAAAACCAAAAATAGAAATACCAAATATACCGTGTTCATGGATTGGAAGAATCAATATTGTCAAAATGGCTATACTACCCAAAGTGATCTACAGATTCAATGCAATCCCTATCAAACTACCAACGATATTTTTCACAGAACTAGAACGAATAATTTCACAATTTGTATGGAAATACAAAAAAGCTCGAATAGCCAAAGTAATCCTGAGAAAGAAGAATGGAACTGGAGGAATCAATCTGCCTGACTTCAGACTATACTACAAAGCCACAGTCATCA